AAGTTGTTTCTGCATCTTCTAATCTATTCCACTGATCCTCAGGTCAGTTTCTTTGCCAGTACCATGCTGTTTTTATCACAGCAGCTTTGTAGTATAGTTTCAAGTTGTGGATTGTGACATCCCCTGCCATGTCTCTGTTATCTAGAATTGCTTTTGCTATTCTAGGTCTCTTCTGATTCCAAATGAATTTTTGGATTATTTTCTCTAGTTCTGTGAAGTATACTGCTGGAATTTCAATTGGCATTGCATTAATTCTATATAGTAGTTTTGGAAGTATGGCCATTTTCACTATATTGGTTCTGCCTACCCAAGAGCAAGGGATATCTTTCCATTTTCTTATATCCTCTTCAATCTCTTTTTTCAGAGTGGTGTAGTTTTCAGTGTAGAGGTCTTTAAAGCAAAATGATTTTCCAAGGCCATGCAGCTCATCAGTCTAGGCTGCCTGGCTCTCACCTAACCTTTGCCTATTCAGTGGTCATTCAAAGTTTGAGGGGCCTAGGTTCCAGGACTCCCTGTGAATTCCAAAATCCATGGATGCTCAAGCAAAAAAGTGGTGCAATGTGTGTGTATTATCTGCAAATACACTCCCTTCTGGTTTATTCGTTTTTTTGGGTTTTTTTTGAGACAGGGTGTCGTCATGTAGTTCAGACCAGCCTTGAACTCACTATGTAGTCCAGGCTGGCTTTGAACTCAAGGTGATACTCCTGCCTCAGCCTCCCGAATGCTGGGATTGCAAGCAGGCACCACCACATCCAGCCCTCCCTTCCACTTTAAATTATCTCTCCATTACTTATGATACTGAGTGCAATGTAAAGGCTCTGTCAATAGTTATCTGTGTTGTTTAGGAAAAAAAAACACAGAAGAAAAGTCTGTTCATGTTCCGTACTGTTGAAAATTTCCCGCTGAATGTTTCTTATCTGAGGTTGGTTGAATCCATACTTTCAAGGGCCATGTCTGCATCCTCTGGACACAGGTGGTCACAGGGCCCCAAGATCATACACTGCCCACAGGACAACCTCAGCATTGTCACTTCCAGACATACACGTTTATCGCCATCAGGGAACCAAAGTATCAGCAGGAGAAAAGTCTGGAGGACTTCTCTTAAGACAAAAATCTGGTCCAGAGGAAGGGGCAACCCAGCCACCATCCCTCCCACCGCTCCCAGCGAGAGTAAAGGGTTTTGGGGCTGCCGTTCATCCTGCCACTACCAGCCCAGAGGAAGGGGCTTCTGAGCCTCTGTCCCACTGCTCCTGGTCCAGAGGAAGGGGCTTCCCGGCCACCATCCATCCCACTGCACCTGGCCCAGAGGAAAGGGCTGTTGGGCCACCATCTGTCCCGCTGCTCCCAGCCCAGAGGAAGGGGCTTCCGGGCCACTATCCCTACAGCTGCTCCCAGCCCCTGTCCCACCTCTCCCAGCTCAGAGGAGGTGATCTGCGTGGGTGCCAACAGCATCCCCCATCCCCCCAGTCAAAATGAGAAAACACGTAAATAAGTCTCAAAATCAGACTTCCAGATCACCTACAGCAACCCCAAAGGGAAATAAGATGGAACACTCTGATACTCAACCACCTGGAACCACTGAATGGGCAACAAAAGGGGATCTGGAAAAAATGAAATCAGAAATAATTTCTCAGATAACAGCAGAGATTGTGTTCATAGTGCAAGACATGATTAATAAATCTAGAGAGGAGCTGTGGAACATGATGGAATCCCAACATAGGAAACAAATGGAATCCATAAAAC